AGAAATTGTTAATGCATGTTTAATGTGGTGTTTACAATAAAAATACTGGCACCATACTTCAGTTTTCCAAACACCCTACTCTTTATTGTTAAACTCCTTAACATATTGTCTATCCTTAACATTTACTTCAGGCTTCAAAGCACGTACATTTCAGTAATCCTCGAGGGTCAGCCAGGCACAAAAAATGGCACCCAGACTTTTTGAGGTGCTTGTAAATGGAGAATCTTTAGGCGCAAAATGCACCTGGCGCCCTGCTAATTTCGAACCCTGATGGCACGGGATTAATAAAAACTTGATTTAAGATTATTCAACTTCTAGTTAACCACAGTGCAACACACTCCCTCCCCCGAAAGAGTACCCAAGTAGCCATCACAAAAACTGGGAACAGCATGAGCTTAGCTATGTTCCGCCATCTTTACGCATGTTAATCTTGGCTGATAATGGAAGACAAACAAAATTTTAAGCCTAGCAGAGCTGACCTGAGTAACAATATATATTATTTAGAGAACACACATCTGGCTAAATTAAAGACTAAAAAATAAAGTTCACTTTTCAAAACCTCGGGTCATAAAACTGCCATTAAACAAGATGTTCAAAGAGGAGTAGCTAAGGATATTGTAAGTTTCCAAAAATAGGGAAATATGGCCCATATCTTGTTAATACACCAATTTCTAAACCTATTGAAAGCAATATTCTATGAGTGGTTTATATTCTGCTCTTGAGTCTCCCGTTTCTGTAATTTTAACTACACAATAATAAATATTTTATGTTCTCTGTGCTAAAGGCAAAGCCTTTTGATTTTGTAACTAGTTAACACTACCCACACTCTAATTACCACAACTGCAGTGTCTTGAGAGCAGCTTCCTTCACATGTGCATATGCCCGCAAATAATTGTAATAATAATATAGTAACAACAATAATTTATTACTGTATTTTTCGCCCTATAAGACGCACTTTTTCCCCTCCAAAAATGAAGGGGAAATGTGTGTGCGTCCTACGGGGTGAATACAGGCTTTCACTGGAGAGTGCACACCGACCCCTCTCGCTCTCCAGGCTTCAGGAAGCTCTGCGCAACCCTCGGGAGCCCGGCGCGAAGCCACGCTGGGCTCCGGAGGGTTGCGCAGAGCTGCCTGCGCTCCCGGGCTCTGCGCAACACTAGGGAGCCCGAGGGGAAGCCGCGCCGGGCTCCCAAAGGTTGCGCAGAGCTGCCTGCATTCCGAAGCCTCGGGCGTGGTGAAGAGTGCGCCCAGGCTTCGCGCAGCTCTCCGCAAGCCTGGGGAGACTGGCGCGGCTCCCTAGGCTTGCGGATAGCAGGCTGTGCTGGGGTCGGGGGAAGCTCGGGCTTCCCCTGCGCCAGCCCCGTGCCTGGGGGGGGAAATAATTTTTTTTCTTTATTCTCCCCCCCCCCAAAAAAAGTAGGTGCATCCTATAGGGCGGTGCGTCCTATGGGGCAAAAAATACGGTACTTGTACCCTGCCCATCTGACTGGGTTGCCTCAGCCACTCATCCATTACATATGATAGTATTCTGGAGAGGGTCTACAAGCACTTGGCCCAATTTAACTAAGCACTCTCTCTACCCTGGGGGTGGGTACCCTTTTCAGCTTGCGGGCCGCCTTCCCTTAGTGTGCAACCTTTTGGGGGGCCAAGGATGAAGAGCAAAAAGTGAATGGGTCCAGAAGCAAAAGTGAGCAGAGCAATAGATGTGGCTCCTGCCTTTGTACAGGAGTCTACATTTCAGCCTTGCAAATTCTACAAACACATACTTCATCAGGCAAGAAAGAGGCAAGCTTAACATGACACAGAGCAGGTGTAGCCTGAGTTGGGGGAAAGGGCCAGACAGAGAAGTCTGGTCTGGAAGGTCACGCCTGGCCCCCGCAAGGTTCCCTTACCTGTGATCTATTCCATTTAATGACAGTTGCAAAGACCACAGCATTACACAGAGCTCAATCAGAAGAGAAAGCTACAGCAGACAGAGGTTGGGGGTGGGCAGAGTAGACATGCTGAGTAAGATGTCCTTAAGGCTGCCATGCACTTCCGTAGCCTGCTGGCCCAGCTGAGCCACTGTTAAGAGATTACAGAGCCTCGCAGTGACACTAAGCACATGGCAGGTCACCATTCATTTATCAGCTTCCATCAGAACAGGGCCTTTGATGGCATAAGTGTCAGAACAAGACCTACGCTCATTCGATCATCATCACCGAATGGCATGTTCATCTAAACCAGAACAGTGTTCGATAGACCAAAAGAACAACTTAGTTTCTCTAAGATGAGCCTTAAACACTGAGGGCAGCTATCTTTAAATTCCAGCCAACCTTACATGGTGTGGTAAGAAGAAAAACGAACACGTTCTGCTCCCCACTGATCATCACGGTCACTTTTGTGTACAACATGTGCATCTAAATTAAAATTAAAAGCTCTCAGTTCAGTGGAGAGGCAGGAAAACTTCAGATTAAGTCCCAACCCAGTACATAAGCACCAAGCAAATACAAATTTCCACTCACAAACAACCACTTGGCAGAAATAAGTGGTGTCCCCCCTAAATAACATTCCACCTCTACTTTGTTTCTATCAATGAAGTAGTAAGGATGGTCTATAGCAGTAATTTATGAAATTTGAACCTTACTGTTCCCAAAAATTATTCCCTTGTCATAAAGATGATGGTGCACTTGCCTTTCCATTAGATTTACTGCCTATGTGTCATTATTGGCTATATGGTTCAATTCTTGTAATAATTTAATAAGATACAAGAATATTAAATAATTCATTTCCTTCATCCTCCCTCCCATTTTAGTTCTTTCAGCTGCTTTATTTCCTCTGTTCATCTTTGCAAAATATCTCTAGGTTTTCCATGGCTACGCGGACTATCCTTGCCTGCCTCCCACTTAAGTCAGACTTTTATCCTGTGATCTGACCACAAAGATCCCCAGAAAGGACCACATTAATCTGGCAACCACAAACCTAAAACTGGAAATGCTTCGGCAGGAGGACGAAGTGGGGAAATTAACATGGTGCCTAAATACTAAGTGTTGGTGACTGGCAGGTTTTTCAAGGGAGAGTTTTTCAGAATAGAAAAATGTCTGTCTCTGGTGAGGTAGCAGCCACTACCTCACCTCTAAAGCCAACGCAAACACACACACACACACACACAGAGAGAGAGAGAGAGAGAGAGAGAGGGAGGGAGAGAGAGAGAGAGAGCGCGCACAGAACATCCTGTCCATTGGGTATGTTCACATCATATGGCAGCAAGAAGTCCTTATGCCAGTCCCTGAACTTTTTGGGCATTCTGGCTCAAAACCAGCACCCTGCATTGTGCTAGGCACTCATAAGACAGCTAACATATTTTGAAACTACTAAAGCTTTCTAACACCAGAGTTGGGGGTATCAGTCTTTCTCCTGCATTTCTAAAATGAATTTATGAGGAAGAGGACAGAGAGCAGAAACCTCTTCTGAGTCCAAATGCCATTTGGCTACTACTCTCCAAAATGTGTCTCCTCTGCGGCCGCTCCAACTGGTCACTATCGGATCAGTTTTTAAGAATCGGTCCCTGTGTGTTTGGAATCTAATCTTTCCTCCTGCCTGTTCATTCCTGTTTACTAAGAGTGAAAGCCTGTGGGGGCAGAGATGGTTTCCCCCCCCCTCATTTATTAAAGCCATTTATATACCACTCTTCCCCTTTTAAAGAAAATTCCATCAGGGCAATATACAAGAAAACAGCAGAAAAAGTGCACTGAAATCCAAAGTTAAAATAACATTAATTTTTTTATTAAAAACCCCCACCAAATTACAACAGTAACAATAATCCATGGTAGCAAAACAAGTTCTTAAAAATCCATCACCAGAAGCTGGGTATTATTTTTTTATTAACCCCTCCCCCAGCAATGTGTGGGTGAAGATGTGAATCTTTAATAGTCACTGAAACACTGTCGCGGATACGGGCAAGGGGTTAAATCTCTGTCCAGCACTTTTAGAACTGTTTTGGCACTCAATCACAAATAAAGCAGAAAAACAGGGATGCAGTTATGAGGTCTAGGTGGAATTGCAGGTACGTACTTCATTGTCTCCGATCTTATCCTTCCTCCCCATCACATTTCGCCATCAGAAATTTGTCATTTTAACTGCCTGGCCCATGGCATTCATTCCGTCATTCCACCCAGTTCCATGTGGCCGTGCCCAGTCTCTGTAACCTTCTCCCTACAATCCTGCCTGTTACATTGTCTGGAGGTTTCCCTTTCACATCTCCACCACCACTCCCAAAGACGCAACTCCGCTGTAGCCTTTTGCCGTCGCTTAATGGCCCCCGTGAGACACAGGATTTTGTTCTCAATTAGCATTGCTGCTGCACTCCTTCCTTAAAATGTACATCACACCCCACTTGCTCGCCCCCATCACTGAAGTTCAACAAACAGTCTTCTGTTTGCTCCAGGCTCTGCATAACCCTCAGCCTGCAAAGGAAGGTGGGACTTACAGACCCAAAAGCAAAATGTGGATGCATGGAGCCTGACCTACGAGCGAGCGAGCGAGCGAGCCTATACAACATCCTCACCCCCAGCACAATGCAAAAGTTAATCAGGAGTCCCAATGGACAGGTGTCTGTGTTTTTCCTGCTGTGAGTGTTAAACACACAGTTTGTTTTATCCTAGAATGTGTTGATTTGCTCAAGAGGCATAGATTTCTAAAAGTAGGCAAAACAGTTGCTTTCATACCGACAGCTGTAAACAGCAACTGCTCTCCAAGGGTACTGGGGGGGGCAGGATTCCCAGAGAATCCTATTTAGTCTTCCGTTTAGTTTTGCATTTGTGCCAATATACAAGGCAAAAGGAGCAGAAGAGGTTTAGATTTTCTATTTGACTCCTGCGTGTGTGTTTTTAAAAATGGTATTGCATTTAACTAATAGGGGCAGAGAAAGCCAGGCACCAGGTTGACACATAATCATAGAATTGTAGAACTGGAAGGGACAAGGCTCAACTAGTCCAACCCCCTGCAATGCAGGAATCTTTTGCCCAACATGGGGCTCAAACCCACGACCCTGAGATTAAGAGTCGCATGCTTGACGAACTGAGCTATCCATCTGAGCCCCGGCAAGGAGTCTTGCCCTCCCGGACAGCCAGCACAACTACTATAGGACCTTCCCAAACTAGACTGGGATGGGGGGTATCCCCAAGGCAGTCATAGGACCAAGAAGTTTACAGGCATATCAGCTGGGTCCTTAAACCAGCAGATAACACCAACTTGCCTTTTCCAAATGATTGCACTGGACAAGACTGGACTGACAGCTCTCAGGTGAGAGGGATATGCTACTACAGTGGTACCTCGGGTTACATACGCTTCAGGTTACATACTCCACTAACCCAGAAATAGTGCTTCAGGTTAAGAACTTTGCTTCAGGATGAGAACAGAAATCGTGCTCCGCCGGCACGGCAGCAGCAGGAGGCCCCATTAGCTAAAGTGGTGCTTCAGGTTAAGTACAGTTTCAGGTTAAGTACAAACCTCCGGAACGAATTAAGTACTTAACCCGAGGTACCACTGTAGTTCCAGCCAAGGGCCAGTCAGGTATTAAGGAACAGTAATGGACTAGATGAGGGCAATAAATTGAAACTCAATCCTGAGGAGGCAGAGATGTGCTGGGGGGTGCTTCAACCAGTCCTGGGTGATACCTGCATTCTCCCTAGAGCAGGAGAGATCTCCAGATGTTGCAGGCTGTAACCCTATCATCCACTATCACCCCCAACACCTGTCACAATGAATGGGGGCCTGGTAGGGAGTTGAAGTTCAACAGGGCTACAGGCAAGCCACCTGGCACAAAGGATCAGGTGCTCAGTCTGGAAGCGCTATCAGATCTATCTTTATCACCTGTGGCTACCTCGGAACAGTTTCTATTGAAGGTGCAAAATACAGTGGTACCTCGGGTTACAGATGCTTCAGGTTACAGACGCTTCAGGTTACAGACTCCGCTAACCCAGAAATAGTACTTGGGGTTAAGAACTTTGCTTCAGGATAAGAACAGAAATTGCTCTGGCGGTGCGGCAGCAGCGGGACCCCCTATTAGCTAAAGTGGTGCTTCAGGTTAAGAACAGTTTCAGGTTAAGAACAGACCTCCAGAACGAATTAAGTTCTTAACCCGAGGTACCACTGTATACAAGTTTAGGAAACAAGCAGCAAACAGCATCATGCAACATGCGGGTGCATTTTCTATTGTAAATAACTGTCTTGAAAGTTGCAGTCCTCCCCCTCACTCAGAACATCTGCCCATGTTGTGTGATGCCAATATTACTGCTTCTATACTCAGCGAGAGTGTTCCTGACTAACCCATCCTCTCTTGTTGCACTTCCAATGAAAATAAGTTTTACTACTGTTTATGCTTGCTTTGCTCTGTAGACAAAACAGAGGAGCAGCTGGAAACCTATCTGGGGAGGTGCCTCTTTGAACAGAAAAGGCTAAACCGCATTCCAGCTTCAAAAGTTCTGCTGTCCTGGAAGACTTACAAGGGGGAGGAGAGGATATTTCAACACTTTTAAAGGTTACTTTGTAAGATTTAATTTGTGTTCCAGCATGCACTTGCACTGATGAAGTTACTAATAACAGGCTGCAGAGTGTACGAGCATTGCAGCCTAACACCCACCAGTGATTAGGTAGCGTTTATTACATGTATATATTGCCTCCCATTAAAAGAAGTCTGGAATCAATTCATCAACAAAAAAGAAAATATCCATGATAAACTCACATAAACAGATTAAAAAAACAGATTACAACAGCACAATATCGTATCATTTGTGCTTCACCAATTCTTGGGGAACTGCAAATGTATTTGCCTGGATCCAAAATGATGGCAAGTGTTGAGAAGATTGATTTATTGCTCAGATAAGCCTGATGTCCGGCACGCTTCCCACTGCGCAGCTCTACTGGCCAGGCCTCTGCATTCCAAAGTCCACATTCCGAAGCTCTGAGCAAAGCAGAGGGCTTCCTCTAATTGCAGTAACTGCAAGGTTGGTGCCAGGCAGGCCTCCCTGAGGAGAAATTTCTATAAACAGGGGGCTACCACAGAAAAGACCCATTCCCATACTTCCACCCTCCGGACCTCCCTTGTGGTGGCACACAATGAAATGCCTCGGATTACGATCTCAGGACCCAGGCAGGCTGGGCTCTTGAGGACTGCATTTTGGTCGATCATTTGAGACTGAGTTTTATAGTTCCCTTTTTTTGTACCTAGTAAACACTGGTGGCACACCACACATATACTATGGTTAGTCGTTATTTATATTTTTAAAAGAAACAGTGCAATTGGGATTCTTAGTTATTGCAGGGTTAGCCTTTTTTTAAAGAGAGGGAGAGCACACGTGCAGCATAGTAACAAATTCACATCTCTAGTTCACGATAAGAAATTCCGTAAAACTGTTAATAGCACCGAGAAATTACATTAAGGCAACAGTGAACATTTATTTCCATATTATTCATTCACACAGTCATAAGCCCTACCGTTTGTTGTTCAATCTGGAAAAAAGTATGAATGCCCTTCCCTGACCACCAAAAGGTCCTGTTCCATGAAAAATTAAATCCTTAAGGAGCACCTATCTGTATCCTGAATAGCGCATTGCAAGTACCATGGCAAACAAGCTATGCTTAGTAAAGTGGCAAATGTCAAAAAGTTCTTTACCTCAGCGAAGTGGGAGGTCAGAGTGGAGAATTTCTGTGAGAATATGTACAAGGTTCAATCGGGCAATATAAAATGGCCAAGATGGCTACAGCATGACTGATTTAGTACAAAGCTTGTTTTTCTAGCGTGATCACTCAAAACAGCAATGATAGTACATTCATTTCCAAATATGAGGCATTTGGAAGAGGAGTAGGAATCAAAAGTTTGGTTCCCTTCCCAACCTCAATGACTCACACTTAATCATCAACCTTACCCTTTACTCATCTGGAAATTAATTATAGTACAAGTGATTACACAGAAACATTGGCAGGCCTCACTAGATGACTGGCAAAAATAAGGACACTTTCTACTTCGACTACTATGCCTGTTTGCCCTTCAGGAACCAGCACACCTTGGCTTAGCAACATCACATAGGATCTTCAACTTTAAATTTCGTATCTTCCAGCTTCACCCTGAGGCACACTTACTTGGAAGTAAGCTCAATTAAACCAGTGTGGTGTAGTGGTTTGAGTGCTGAGCTGGGATCTGGGAGAGCAGGGTTCAAATTCCCACTCACTTAGTGAGCTCACTTGATGACTTTGGGTCATGCCCTGTTCTCACACTAACCTTCTTCACAGGGTTATTGTGATGATAAAACAGGGAGAGGGGTACAACATACTCTACCTCTTTGGGGGGGGGGGAGTGGGATAAGTGTAGTGCAGAAAATAAATACATACAATGGGAGTTCGTTCCAAGTAAAAATGCATCAGTTTGCACTGTGACTTTCTGAACATGTGCTTTCCAAGAAAGTCCCATTGTGAATAGTAACGACTACCTTAAGCTCCTATTGGGTTGGATCTAAACTTATAGTGCAATCCTCCACATTTACTCAGAAGTCCCACTGTGTTCAATTAGGACTTTCTTTCAGATAAACATAAACAGGACAGCATTATAATTTAGACTTGTGATGTTTGTTTGTTTGTTTGTTTGTTTGTTTGTTTGGCTGTTTGGCTGTAAACTGCTGTGGGTAAAATGCTCTTGGGTAAAATAAAGCAACTAACAAATTTAATAAATAATGATGATGACTAAACCTCATTGAGTTCAAAGTGTCCTTTCCTAAGCATGACTAAGTTCCCATTCAACCCACTGATTTGTGTGGGACCAAAATGCAACTACAGTGGTACCTTGGTTCTCAAACTTAATCCGTTCTGGGAGTCCTTTCGACTCCCCAAACCATTTGAAAACCAAGGCGTGGCTTCTGATTGGCTGCAGGAGCTTTCTGCATTCAATCGGACGTTTGGCTTCCGAAAAACATTCGCAAACCAGAACACTCACTTCCCGGTTTGCAGCATTTGGGAGCTGATTTGTTTGGGAGCCAATCCGTCCGAGTACCGAGATCCCACTGTAATTTGCTCTAGGTCAAACCCAGTCACTTCAGTCTCCCCATCATAATTTCATACTTCTGTATGGTCCTTACTTTAAAACAGGGATAAACCAATATGGTGCCCTCCTGATATCGCTCGTCTACAGTTCCCATCAGCCCTAATTCTTACCCTTGGCCGATTGTCAAGGATGATGACAGGTGTAGTCCAACATCACCTGGAGGACACCACATCGCCCACCACTACTTTGAAACGAAGTAGACTAAGTGGAAATGAGGAAAACATCTTAGTCCTTACTCTAAACCCATCATTCCATGCTGTCAAGACAAAATCCTCTATTGCCAGGGCCTACCAGAAGAAAGCCATCAGAACAGTGGTTCTTAGCACACTAGGAATCAGAAGGAATGCCATCTTCTTCAGGAGGCAGCAACACAGCCTGAGTATGGGAACAGTACCAGAATTCTTGACAGGATCTTATGCTCCAGACAAGGGAGGAACAAGACACTTTGATGGGGGGGTGATAAAAAAAGCCAAATGAACTTCTCCCATAGCAATTAACATCTACCATCAGGAAGCTGCCTTATGCAAGCCATTACATTAGGCTGTCACAGAGGAAGGGGAGAGAAGGGATGCAAGACCATCATCAGCTCTGCTCCCCCCTCCATCAACTGTTGCCTGGCAACAGCCATTATATCAGGCAGCCACAGAGGAGGGAAGATATACAGGACCATCCCACAGCTGAGAAAACAGCAACTTTTCCTCTCCTTGAACCCCTCCAACCAAGCTGATTATTAGAATTTATAACTAAAAACTCATCCCCTTGTTTGCTTTTTCCTCCACCCTCCTCCTCTTCAACCCATTTTCCTTTTGTGTCATGACATTCTACAGTGTACAGGGACTGGTCTTCTTTTTTCCCTGGTCTGTAAGCTGCTCCAGGAGCCTTGTTGGGTTGAAGAGTTGGATAAATAATTCTTTGATTAAATACATAAGCCTTATTATCATTATTTGAAATGAGATTATAAGGAAGGGACTACAGATTAGTGGCAAAGCACATGCCTAGCA